AGGAGAAGTTATATAATTGATTATTGAAATGTTTATTATGCATTATTTATTTAATCGTTTTGCATTTTTAATTATCATATATTTATTAGTTTTTTTTGTGTGTCTCATTATTTCTACTTGAATTCTTAATTATTCTTTGTAAATTATTGATTTAAGCAAATAAGCATAAATGGTTTGTGTACTTTGAGTTTATGTTGTACTGGTTGTTCTTGTTTGTATTTTATTGTTATTCATCGATGCTAGTGCCCTTTCGTATCTGTCAAAAAAGTGCAGCTCTAAAAATAAAACACTAGTATGGCTAATCGTCTTATTTTTCTCTTTAGAATGCCGTTTCAAATTACTTTATGCCTTTCCTAAATCTAAATCAGATTCATCAATCCCCATTGACATTACTTCCTCCGCGAGCTGTTCAAGCTCTGATACCTTTTCGTCGACGAACGCATTCATAGTATTATCAAGCTCGGCTTGTAATTCTAACAGGACTCTGTCGTCGAGACCACAATCCTGGAGAACTTTGCCGGAATTGGTTCGGGCATGTTTAATTCGCTGTCTGAAAACACTGATTAGGGTCCTGATCTCATTAGCGGTTTTATCTCTACGTGCTGTGGTGATGGGTGGCACGACAATCTTCACCTTTGACCCCTCCTTTGAAACTTGCATGCTCGAATCAAACCTCGAGACGCACTGCATGATTGTGTTTCCAAAATTATTGTTATGTGGAATTATCTCGACGGTGTTGGCGTCTATTTTTACAACCTGCGCGACCTTCGTGAGCAAAACGGAGTGTCCCCCTGATACCTCGATTTCTAGCAGCTCTAAGCACTTCACCATATTCAAAACTTTCATCGCACTGATGTTTGCCCGATCCAACGTCTTAGCATAGATATGCTCTAATTCCCCTGGAAAATCACTATTCACCATCGTCTCAGCTTCATGAATGAGTTGCTCCTTGAATTGCTTTTGATCCCGTGTTTTTTTTGTCCTTCGTTCCGCCCGCTCTTCAAAGGTCAACCGCCTTGCCTCGCCTCGATCGTTTTTATATACATCCTTCAAACAAAGAGGCGTTGCAGTGCAATACACGCGTCTGGCAAAGGCAGTGCCCGAACTAAAATAGTGCATAACCGAAGAAGACCCTAGACAGGAGATGCTGTCACTGACCCGTAATGAGGCGGGCCACGAGAAATTTGAACTACGTAGGAGAGATGCCGGGCTTGACCCTCGTACACTAAACACCTGTTGTAACGTTAATCCGCCTTGCCTCATACCTTTTTACTGTCTTGATGCGTATTCCTACCTTTGATTTGCCACTACTCCCTTGCCTGACTTTATGAGCAATTGTTGCTTATGCGCGCCTTGCCTTTGTTTTTCTTGCTGCGTTGTCTACTAGTAGAGAATCAGAGATACGGCTGCGAGGCAACAACAGGATTGCTAGCCGCAAATACTACTATTTATTTTCTCACACGTAGCAGCAGGGGTGATAAGGAAAACTCTAGTGCAGTAAAGCAGATAAAAAGAGGCTTAAACATATCTGGGAAGCTTCACATCTGCATTTAATTAATCTCAAGAGACACACAAAGTGATCTTTATATGTCTCACACGCATAGACATAAAAGTATCTTTGAATTAATTAGACAGGTATTACTCGTATGAGTTGATTATAAAGAGGGTTCAATTATTTCTTCCACGGTATGGATCCTGCTCATATCAAAATCACACACTTTTAGGTTTGTATTGCTAGCCATAGAATTTCCAGACAGACTCAATCTATTAACCCATACCGTTATTTCATGGACCGTTTAATAATGAAATTAACAACCACCATAAATCGAGAATGGACAGCGCAACAAAACAAATCGCACTACAGAGTACAAGTGTAAGATAAGGGGGAAAAAAGTCTAGTAACAATCACTTTGGTATATTTTTCCCGAAGCAGTATTTCCTTTTCTTGTCGGACAAAGTTCATCATCGTCAGCTTCACCAAAGAAAATACAAATGTTGTCTGCTTTCATTACTATTTTTTATCCACACAATCACATCTCAGCTATTCAATTTACTTTCATAAAGCCAAAATGTATGGATTCAAAAGTTATTATTCAATATGTATATGAACAAATGTATATGTCAATTGACGATTTTCGTTTGTAGGGATTTCTGATCAATTTTTATGTTTTTTCGATAGAAACAGGGTATATGGAGCGAGATATTATGTGAGCTATATCGCGAGACTTTTGCGAGATGAAGATGGAAAATCAGCATGTATATTATATGCACATTTTTCCTCTCTTAGTCGCACACTACATTCTCCATCGACAACTGCATTCCCAATACCACGTTTATCTTCACATATACACGCATACATATATATATATATATATATATATATGTATATATGTTCAAATTACAATTCAGATTTCAATATGCCTCACGCTAGAGATGCCCCCCGAGCTAGCATTAGCTACGGATTCTAGTACTTTTTCCATTGTCTCTTTTTATCAGCCTGGGCCTTGTTTTGCATCGCCTCATGTGGGTAATAGGTGGTCGCAAAGGCCCCCTCCATCAGATTCCCCCACAATTCGGCTAGATCGCGTGTGAGCTCCGGTGTTTGCTTTGTTACCCAAATCTCTAAGATATATCCTCGTTCCCGCACTTTGAGAGCGATTCCGTTGATTTGAGCACGCACCACAGGGTTCCAGGAGTCGCCAATGGTGCGGCAAAGCAGAAGCTCCCACGCTTCATTAACGCGATTGGAGCTAACTTTCATCTTGAGGATTCCACCGTTGCGATTCGCAGGGTCCTCCCATTTCGGATCAATACCATCTCGGAAGAGGTACACCGTGCCTACAGACATCTCCGTTGGCTGAGGGACATTGTTGAAGACCCTCCAGAAGGTAGGAATGCTCTCAATGCGAAAGACCAGGGTCGGGTTGTAGTTCTCTTCCTTGATGTTCTCCCCCCACGCGGGGAGGTAGAAGAGCGACCACACGTCGTCGAGCATCATCTCTATGTTCGCCTTAGCAGGATCTGCCGCCAGCACAAGCGGCGACGGCTTGCTCAGGACGACACGCGTCATGGTGCGCCGCGGTACGTACGCTGCCGCCTCGACCTTCAACGCGCTGGACTTGCTAATCGCCAGGATCTCCTCGTTCTTAAGGTTGAGCGAGACTGGGGCGATCAGGGGGGAAACATTCGCGCCGTGACGCAGCTGCGCCGGCTTCCCTGCGGGTGTCCGGACAGCTGTGGGGGCGGGCGCCTGGGCGCCGCCCTGATGCCGCTTCTCCGCCTCCAGGTCGGCAGTGGAGATCGGCAGGATGTTTAACCCCGCGGTGCCATGGGCGTCATCCGTGCGGGCGCCGTTTCCAGGTACGAATTCGTCCGCATTCGGGTTCATGTGGCGGATGGTGATCGGGACGATCGCCGGGCTCATGCGGGTGGGCACACGCTTCGACAGGCTTGGGCTGCCCCCTGTCAGGTTCGGCGGCGAGGACGGAGGCGCCACGCTGGAGGCGAGGTGACTAGTCGTAGGGGTGTGGTTGCTCGCATACAGCGGCGCTGGGATCGGCTTCGTGGACAACGCCGTGTTGCTTACACTAAATACATTCCGCTTCGCCGGCGCTGAGGTCTCGTGTAGTGCATGGTTCGCAGTGGTGCCGGCTACAGCCACCTTAGAGGAGGGCGGCCCGGATACCCCTGTGCCGGATGGGCCAGCTGGGGCCGATTTCTGTAGCCACGAGGGCGTATATGCGGATGCGTTGAGAGAGAGCGAGGCCATTTAAAATAACAATGGGAACCTTTTATTTTCCCACCCACTCAGGCGCAATAACCTCCGATGCGGAAGAATACGTGCTACTAGAAAACAAGCGCAGTGCAGCGAAGACAACGACAGCGACTCAGCAAATAGTGAGTCCACTGTACCGCTCTGTCTTTTTATGACAAAATATCAAACTCGTAAGGAGTTAGGTATATGAAGGACCTCACTGACTGGTTCGAACGATGCTTCACGCTTGGTAATCGGTTTTTGTTTGGATTAACTTGATCTTATTGCCTTTTTATTTTCTGTGTATCTATTATGCGCACGCAAGCATATATAAGTAATACAAGTGCAGGATCCAATGCTAATAATAAAAAAAACACAAATGGGAGAAAGGACACTAAAACGATTATACGCTAAATTAACGTTTTAAGCTTAAGAGGAAAAGCCTACAACGCGGTTGAGATTCCAAAAGTTCACTATCGAATCCCAACGGACATATATGGACGCGATTTATACCGTCTTCCCGTTATTATTATTTATCTTCTTACTGGATGAAATTTAAGTACAGGAAAATATATTATGCGTTCTAAATCATAAATAAAGAATTACCGAAGATATATTCAATTAATTCGGGCAGTGCAGTAAAATACAAAGTTTATTCGGCGTCTCGCACATGCAGGCATGTTATTTTTTCTAAGAAGGATTCAAATAATAGTTAATATGCTTTGCTAAATTCCTGCGTTTCCCCTTTTGCTGCCCTTCTTTTTCCTACTTCACTTGCCTTAATTTCGGATCCACCTCCGATTGGTCCCTGTTGAGGATCCATTTGAGTCATTTTTCCCTTTCTCCGTCATAGTCCACAAAGGGAACTCCTGCATACATTGACTGCACTTATTCCTTTAACTCATGATCCTCCCCCATGTGTTATGAGTTGAGATACCGACTCCTTTATTTCCGTTTTTTTTTCGTTTTTGAATATAGGCTCCTTTTAGGGTGTCACCCGTCTCGGGTCGCGTGGGAACATGGACGCCAAGCGCACGTTGCTGAGCCCGAGGTAGAGCATCACCACGCGTTCCATGCCTACGCCAAAGCCTCCGTGAGGCCATGCCCCCAGTCGAAAGCTGTCCACGTAATCCTTGCACGGCATGAGATCCACCTTCAGCGTCGCCGCGCGCTCCAACAGCATCTCTGGAATGTGAATACGCTGCGCACCACTAGATATTTCTTCGCCGCGTATGAACATGTCGTAGGAGTTGGTAAAACGGATGTCATCCTTGCACGGCATTGTGTAAAAGGGTCGCGCTGAGGAGGGGAAGCGGTCCGAGATGAAGAAATCCACCCCATAGCGTTCCTTGACGAGTTTCCCGAGGAGCTTTTCATTTGCCGTGTTAATGTCGTCCGTGGGCTCCAGTTTCTCTTCCAGAACCGTGTTGAGCAGTCTGATGCAGTGCAAGTAGTTAATACGCAGCATCCGACTTTCGAGGTTGTTCACACGCGCTTCATAGCAGTCTGTAGGCTCCATGCTCTTTGAAATAACCCCAACACCAAGTTCAACTATCTTCTCCGGGCTCATCTTCCACACCAGCGGCTCAAAAGGGTACTGTTTGCAGATGGCATTCAGCTCCTCCTCGTGTGTCGCGAGGTGCTCAAACATGTAGTCAAATAGACCCTCCGCGAGGTCCAGGACCTCGTAGTAATGCTCGTTAATGCGCATTTCCACATCCAATCCAACAAACTCGGTGAGATGGCGGTGCGTATTGCTGTTCTCAGCACGGAACACTGGGGCCACTTCGAACACGCGGGGTAGATCGCCCTGCAGAGCCATCTGCTTGTACAGCTGCGGTGACTGCGCAAGGAAGGCGTCACTGTTGAAGTACTGCACCTTAAACACGTTGGCCCCCCCCTCACTCGCGGAACTGATGATCTTTGGTGAGTGGATCTCAAAGAATGCGTTGTCCAGCAGGAATTGGCGGAAGTACTGGCACACACGGGACTGGATACGGAGGATTGCCCCCGAGGCGGGGGTCCGCATATCCATCCAGCGGCAGTTCAGCCGCGTGTCGAGGTTCACCTGCGGGCCATCCTCGGCCTCCCCACGGCTCGCATCCTCCAGGGTGAAGGGCAGCGTCCGCAGGGACTCCGACACGACGTGGATCGTCGACACCTTCAGCTCCGAATTCGACACCGTCGCGGCGGTGATCGGCGCATCAACGCGGTGGACGGTCGCCTTGACATCCACGATCGACTCGCACGGGATCTGAGCCGCGAAGTCGACCATCTCCTTCGGGATACCCTCGCCTACGGAGGCCATGGCCTGAATAGACTGCCCCTCATCCCGCAGCAGCAGAAACACCATCTTACCTGTCTTGCGCGTGGTCGAGACGCGCGCACGGATGCATACCTCCTGACCTTCTATCCGCTGGGATATGCTCGAGATTGGCGTGAATTTGATGCTGTTGTGGGTAGTTGACTCCACTATCGGTGCATGCCCAAATACCTTCGCGTACTTAGCGAGCATCATCGCTTTTTCTTCAGCACGGGCTTTCTCTTCCGCCAATCGAGCCAGCTTCCGTGCCTCCTTCTTATCGATTTTTGGGACAGCACCCGCTGTCGCCGCTTCGTTACTGCCGTTTTTGTCCATTATATTCTGAAATAAAGAGTTTTTATGACAATCACTTTTTTTTTGCTTTTCACGTTTCATGCAGGAAATCATAAGACAACGGGGGAGGAGAGTAGAATAGTAAATCATAAGCTTCCATACCGTCCCCAAAGCACAATGTATGCAAGAGACGAGAAGAATGTAAATAGTAACGACAGAAAATTAGCCATGTGAAGCTGAAATAACTACGATCAAATAGATCCATGAATGCATATTTTGGACTACTTCCTCATACCTTTCCGCAAACTTGACTCTTGTAGAAACTAAACACCATACCGTTACGTCTGGGTTCAGTACCATCAGTTGATTGAGAAAGCCTAGTGGATACAACCCTCCTTACACGAGTTAGATTACAGATCGATGGCTATAGCAAGCAGAACAAGAATATGGTTCTGCCCTTGAGTCTTGGTGCCATGCTTCTCCCCTCTTTAGTCGCCCTTCTGACGCTAACATAGCACGCATACCCCCAAGAAGTGATCCCCTCGGAAAAAAAATGCTGCGCCTCCTCAAAAATTCCGATTGACGTACTTTTCCACATCGCTTCCCTCTTATATACGTATGATGGTGGCTGGTCGGCAACTATGGAACTCTCACCCTGTCCTTCTCATGCGCCTCAAGCGATAAAACATCTCATAGGGACGTGTATTACTCTCCCGGTAACACACAGCGATTAGGGCTGTAGCGTGAGCATCATATCCATTTTTCTCGATGCCATTTCGTGAGTTAATGGACGACTACGCTTGCTTATTTGTAATATATTTCTCAAGTTTCATCAAGGAGCACAGTTGCCGCAGACAGTAGTGGCTGTGAACATTGTCCGATTCCGTCGGTGCGCACCCTATATCAAAAGCCAGATGTGATGTGAGTGGGAGCTCGAGCCAATCAAGTCACATGTTGATAAGATTCGAAATCCCAATAGGTGTTACCATTTGCTGATTGGCTGAGCTTAAAGCTACGACGAGCTCCTCGATAGATACACTGCACTCCATCATCTCTCTCTGCTGAAGATGCTGAATGTCCTGTTAAAGGTTACGAACAACATCTAGAGGCTGGCAATACGATGCACGCTCGACGCGAATCTTTAACGTGTTCCTTTCATCTTGATTCTCGATCACAAAGTTGTTTCGAAAGCGAAAAACCCACCCGAACACATTTGAGTGTAAGTGTTGCTTTAGAGAATCTTATACCAGTTGCAAGGCCGCCGCAAGATTCAGACTCGGGCCTAATGGGTGCTTTGAGGCGTTGTTTGCGACGTCTTTAGGTGCGGCGCAGGTACATCTGAGGGAATGCCATTGCGCTTGAAAGGCTCCTGAAGCCTGGAATTGCTTGGATTAACGGGATCCGAGCCGTTACACGTGGGGCGAGGGGCTTCCGTCTCACCTATGCAAGCTTCGCTACCACACTGTGCAGATGCATCAACGCTGCTTGCAGTAGAAGCTTGTCCATCACACGCTGCATCTGTGGGAGCAGCAGGCGGTGGGAGCCACATGGAAACACACAACATATCCTGCGATACGGACACGGATCTGCCATGAGCACGCAGAAATCCTGCAAAACTTTTAAATTGTTGCTTTACTTCCTTCTTCTGCTGCGGTGTTAGCTGCTCGTAGAGCGAGGTAATGTTCACCCAGCGCGGGATGTCAGTATTGCACACCTCGCGTTCCACAAGCGAGGCGATCTCTGGGATAGGGGACTGCTTGAGTGTGAAGTCATTGAGAGATAGGGGTGCCAGATGCGGGGGACGTCTTCGGATTTTCCCGTCCACAACCTGAAAGTCATCAGGGAACTTGCTGGCGATCGAGGAGAGCCCACCTTGGCAATCAAAGTACGAATGAAAAAGAATATCGTCCGGAATATTTTCCTCGACGTTTTTGATATGCTCAAAATCAACCGGAATGAAGGTCACCAGCTGATCTAAGATCGGCACGCGTTCTTCCAACTGTACCCGGATAGCAGGCGGCGCGGACTGCGGATGGAGCGAAACACCCTTGTTGGGGTTCTCAATAGAGTCCATGCTCACGATGAACTCCGGCTTAGCGACATAGCTTTCAACGACACCGATATCTGTCATCATGTACTTCTGATCCGCAACACCGCATCGTGGGTGACTAACCCCTTCTTGCAACCGAACATGAATGCGCGAACCGCTTTCGAGGTTACGCAATTCGAACAAAAAAGGTTGGCGTCGAAAGAAGCTAATCAGCTTCCCGCGTCCTTGGAAGTGGGCACGTATTTCCTCTGGCATGATAGCCGCGACACCTTGAATCGGGACATAGTAAGTGGGTACGTACTCAACAAAAACTGAAAGAATTTCATCCAGGGTCTTCCACGGCAACATCGTCGTACTCGAGGAAGGCACAGATGGTTGCTTTAGATTCACTCGAGCCAGTGGTGGCGGTGGGGGCAGTTTATGCTTGCCCAGAGGTGGCTTCTGCGGGCGCTGCGGAGTCAATTGAATTGCTGTTGTGTGAATTAGCCTCCGCGCAGGCCCAATCGCGAGATAGGGGTTCACAAAGGAGGAACGAAACGTCCTAAGTGTAACTATAAAGTAGTTAATCTTAATCATTCACGCAATGTCTTTAGCTGCAAAGAATGATACGGGATAGTATAGAAAAATATAAAACAACAAAAGAATGTACAAATAAGGGCCAAGTATGTAAAAACGAGTTTGACAGTGTGCAAGGTAGTCGTCAGCATAAACACTAATCACGTTGTCTTCCTTTCTTCCCTCTTCAGAGGACGACGGAAACGACAAAGGGGGTGTTGAGGGAGGACGGAACCGCATGCAAGAGAAGACAACAGTATCATCGAATCTTCCAACTGTGCTTATTTACACGATTAGATTTTTTTTAGGATGTTATATTTAATGACGCAGTCATAAGAGAGAAAAAACAAAGATTCAGGTGCTAAACCCATTGAAATAGCCTGAAACACACACACACATAAACCACCGCACATCCTCCTTTTACCTACGATTCCCTATTCATGATTGCGTAGATACCGCCTTGGTGCGCAGTGCGGCCGCTATTTCCCTCCGGATTTCTTGTGTGATCATGTAATGGAAATGCACGCCACACACCTGAGAGAGTAGTTGCAGTTGTTCCACCTGCAGATCGTTCTTGTAGCGCTGCGTGAAGGAAAGAAGCGTCTGATGCCATAGCACCGGGAGCGGCTCCTCTTTTCGATGTGTCTGGATGAACCGATGAAAGTAGGAGACCAGGGCGTCAATAGCTTGATATGGCAGCGCCATTTTCTTATCGATGAGAACGCGCAAAAACACTGCACAGGGCCCCGAGAAGGGTTGTTGTGAAATCTTAACTATCGTGACGGCTGTGGGCACTGGTGGGAGGTGGGAGCGCTGCAGGACGCTCGCCACGATCAAGGCTTCCTTCAGTGTGCACTCCTCGTCGGTTGCCAGTGGGAGGAGGAACCCTTTGAAAAAGGCAACAGGCTTGAAGAGCGCCTTCCGCACCGCCATGTACAAAGCCGGGTGCAGTTTATGGTTCTCCTTGATGTGATCATGGACGATGGGCAGCAGCACAGAGGCATAGAAGCGTTGCGCCATGCGCTCGTTCAAGTTGGCGGCAAAAACGCGCGTGGCTTGGTATGTGGCGTGCGGCGACCACTGATCCGGTTTCGTAAGCATGAGCAGCTGTTCCCAATTTTTTACGTTTGGCAAAATTTTGAATGCCTTCGGAACTTTTCCGGAAGTGTATCGCTTCATGACACTGCCAATCGCGGTGTATACACGGGCAACACGCGGGTCTATTCGCTCTTCGCCATCCTCCTCATTGTGTTGCAAGACATCCGCAGACTGTGACTGCGCAGCAGCAGTAATGCTCGATTCCTTTTCCTTGATATGTTCCATGATGATGTCAGCCAGTTGGCGATTTTGAACTCGCGATTTTGGTTGAAAACGTTGCAGGATGCGGGCTTCCTCTTCATCGATACCATAGAGGTCGCCTGCCATCTCAGGAACCTCGGACGGCATTTCCGACATGTTCGATTCTGCATCATCATACTCTAGCTCCACCTCTTGATCGTCGTCTTCTTGCCCCTCGGTCTGAAAGTAGCCGCTCGTTGAGGTGGCACCCTCAAGCATCTCCCGCAACCCAACGTCCGTTGCTGTCACCTTTTCTTCATTACCATCGTCGTTGAGAATCTCCCCATTGCCAATCTCACTTGATATGCTTTCTAGTTGAGCCTTGGCTGCTTTGAGGATTCGTTTTGTTGCGCGGTTGGATATGATAAATTCATTATTCTCAGGATCTTCTTCCAGAGCATCATCCGCAGCTAAGGGCCGCTTCAGAGTGGCAAAGCGGTCCACATGGAGATCTTCACCAAGGGGGTTGCTGCGCTTACTAAGGCGTTTCCCTTTCTCCCTTCCGGGCATTTTACTCACGCTTACTTTATTTGAATCTCAAAACTTATTTTCGGTAATAGAAAGTGTAAATAAAGAAGGGAAAGCCTTAGTGAAAAAAGAATTGCCCCAAAGCCATTTTATCACTGCTCATTAGACATTCACAGAAAAGTTACCTTGGCCCTGAATAAAAGGAAGAAACCATTTCGTTTGCTAATTCGACCCCCAATGACATGATAACATTTGAGTTTGCGAAGAAACGAAGTGAATGTAAGCAAAGTATCTAAGCTACTACAGACATTGAGAGATAAGTACAGTCGTTCCCCCCCCTCCCATAAAGAAAATTTTATGAGAGTTTCTCGTTTAAACCTTTCATAAGTAAAAGATCATTAATCAAGTAGATTTGAAGCTGCATCTGGTGACCAGATAAGCGTTAACAGTGTTCAGTCGGAGTGTTTCATCCGCTCGGGCAGCCTCTGGAGAGGCCTGTCGAATGCCCTACCCGTACCAGTAACTATGCCTAGATGCCTCCGCCGTTAACGGGAAGGAATGCGGGCACTTAGCTTCGCCGAATGGCTACTAGTCCGCGGCCCCACGAAGAGGTGGCCGGCATATACCTCTGCACTAATCAAGTCGTGGACACGTACCAATGCAATCCACTTCACCTTGATCAATCATCTTCAAACACAATCAACCATTTGCACATAAAAGCACACAGGAAGAATGAGCTGTTCTACTGAATGTCACTACCCATGCATCGTGAACGCTACTTCATCGCGAGCATCGAAAATTCCCCTCTCGCTTACTGTTAATACCGTAGACGAGGAGGTTTAACGATCTCATTCCGTGGTAATTTCCCTTCGCGGAGCCTGCGCCTCAAGCTTATTTTTAAGTTCCTTGTAGGCCTGTACATCTTTGGCTCGGCGCTGAAGGTCGACTTGTACACGTCGCAGCTTTTCTTCCTTTGCCGACAGATTGCTATCCCGATCTTCCAGAATGCGCAGCCACGATGTAATCTTGTGGCCAAGCTGTTCCACTTCACCGATATGATCCTGAATGTCCTTTTCTTGTACGCTATGCTCTGCTAGTTTAACCATGTATTTTTTTTCACGCTCACGCAGAGCCAAAGCACACTCATCATTCCGCTTTCGCAGTTGCTCATTTTCATCATTAATCAACGCGCGTGCCTCTTGCCGCTCTTTCAAATCTTTTCGACGCATCTCAAGGCGCTGACGTTTATCTTGCAGCTTCCAGCGACGATCCTCAACTTCTTTTAAGGAATCCATAGCCGACTCGCATTCCTGAATGAGCCGCCGAGCGAGCCCTTCAACCTGCATCCCTGATGCCTCCTTAACCTGTACGAGAAGTGGGCCATTCGGCGGATCGGCGCGGAGATCAGCTTCTTCCCGAACTAGTCGGTCGCGCACGGCGGCGAGGGAGGCAGCTTCTTCGGACTGCGGCAGATCCGGTGGAAAGGCCGCGATCCCCGTCGCGCGGTACACCTTCTGCATCGCATGCACCACCGTCTCCAAGTTTTGGAAGGCGACCTCCAGCTTATCAAAGGACACCCCTTGGGCTAAGCCCTTCTGGGGGTGAGCATCACCCGAGCCTTCCGCCGGCACCTCCACCTTTGTGAGGCTGAAAGCTCCATTTCGGACTGTGACACCCTCCTCGGCGAGAGACAAGGTTGCAGAGGCCTGAGAGGCAGGCTTGGTCTCCGATTTTTCTGAAAAAATTAGAGGATTAGTCTCACTCGGTGTGGTGATAATTTTAGGATCACCATGGCGCGAGTGATCGCGACCGGGCAGGCGCTTCCCGTCTGGGGGTTCCTGAGGGTCAAGATGCTTCGTCGACGTTCGCAATGGTGTGAAGTGAATGCCCCTTTGGGTATCTTCCGTGTTGGCACGCACTCCTCCCCTAACGGTCGTGCGCTTTAGGAAAGCGTGGGAGTTTGACAACGTTTCTTGAATCGCTTTCTCCATCGAGGGGTTTACACTCAGAATTTTTTCTAAAAATTGGTTGAATGCCTCTTCGTCGCTCGAAGAGCTATCGCTGCTGTCCCCGCTTGTTGAGGTATCTTCCAAACTCTCTTCTTCTTGAACGATTTTATGCTTATCCTCCATGGGGTCCGCGTCATTAGTTCTCGATGGAAAATCCCACAAATGATGCGCCGCGGTTGGACGCGACCGCGACACACCCAACGCCTGAGGGACGATTGATACAGGTGGCGCGCGTCTGAATGGAGAGACTTGAGTGGGGCTAGCACCTCTGAAAGGAGATTGGTAGATGGTACTACTGCGGGTGAATGGCAGCGACGCTTTCCCCTGAGTATTGTCATTAACTCCAGCGGAGTGCATCGAGGGTGATCCACAGGAGTTGGAGGCTCTATTTTCTTCGGCATCTATAGAATTGGAATGCAGTTTTGAATCTAGAGTTGGGGACTTTGCGGTGGCCGCCCGTACCGGCGGCGTTACGAATGCTGGCTTCGATTCGCTCTCGATGTCAACATGTTCTTTCGATACCGACGCAGTGGAGTCCGTAGAGGATTTCTCATCAATATCTAATGCCTTTTTAATAGGGGAGGGCTTCTTGTTTTTTTTTGCGAAAATATCTGTCGCGCTCTTCAGCACAGTTGACGTGCCGCCGCTATTGCTGTCAATCGTCTTCTTTATATGAGAGGCTAATCTGGTTGCACCAGGGAGTTTCTGAGAGGTGGTGTTCGATGTTGTTGTTTTAGGGGGTGAGCGATGTGTACCCATGGGGATATACGGATCCGACACTGCGTTCCCGGCCTTGAATTGCTTACTCAGCTTAGCAGCCCCGTCACTAGTTGTGCTAGCTGATCTCGTACCCATGGCCCTATTTATAGTAGCGTTGTACAATTCCAGCCTCTCCCGCAATTGCTGAATACGCATGTTGGACGCATCCTGAGACTCAGACTTCATCATGGAGGAGCGTAGTAAATAGCTCCACTAGTTCGATAAATGAGGTTTGGTTTGTAGAATGAGCTTCTCGAGTTTATTGCCACTGAAAAGGCTCGTGAGGCGTTCAAAAACGAAATAGGAACGGTGTATATGTCAATAAAACGCTGTGACCCTTCGTTCTATTGATATTGTAAAAAATAAATGGATTTGAGTGTGCTTATCTGCTGTGTTAAGTAACTGGATGATCTGTTTTCTAAGAATCAATAAAGAACACTACAATGTGGGTCTCGGAGGCAAAGCAAAGCAAATATAGTGCTAAGAAATGTCAAGAGCAGTATAAATTTAAATAATAACGGAGGAATAAAAAGGGGCGGAAAAAAAGAGAAACTAAGAAGACCAGTGCGATCCCTCGGTTAACGTGAACCCATAAAGTGTTGCATATGAGATCAAATAGTTTCGGTCATATGTATGTATACTTAAAAAAAATGATCTAGTTAGGATTTCATGAACAAACATAATAACAATAGTAAAGCCGATTTCTAAAGAAAGGCGAATAGTACTGCATTTCTATATCGTAAAAGTTAATCTAGTGAGGAAAGGAAAGGGAAAGTAACACGGGCAAAAAGATGCAGTCCAATTCTTTTCTTCATTGTACGATCAAAGTCAAAAATAATATTAATACTAATGAGATGAACAACTGAGGACGTAGAATCTGCGCTTAAATATCACGCTTCACCATCTATTACACGATTTATAAAACCGTAAAAAAAAGTATCTATTCCCTTGTTCACCTAAACTCTCCCCTTTTCTGTCTGCTACTTCTGGCCCCCCCTTAAAACTTCTTATTTATTCACGCTTCCCATTTCAAAACTGACTTAATTCATGTGTATATATCATTTTTTCCACCTCATTATACCATACTGTCGGTTATTTATTTACTAGGGCACGTGCCTCATCCAGAAGTTGCTTTTTGTTTAGTTCTTCAGACACATGCGCTACTCCTTCAGAATGCAAAAACTTCAGCAGGTCGGCCTTTGTGAAGTTTAGAAGGCACTTTTTTATCGAGTTTGTTTGGATGAACGTAACCATCTCGAGGTGTTGCTGCCACTTTGGATTAGAGCCCTGACTGGATGTCGAAGAGCGTGTCGAAGCCAGGGAGGATTCAGCCAAAGGCTTGTCTGGATCCGGTACGGTAAGGTGTTCTTTTTGCGATGGAGGCTGCGAGGGCGACGCGCGCTTGTTGGAGGACTCCTTTTTCTGTTTTTGCTCCGCAGGGACAGAGTTCGTCCTGCTGCGCTTCGCGCCTGCCTTGCTATTCGACTTCGTTGAGGGGGATGTCGAGGGCACGCGCGGACTGCGGGACCGCTTGACTGCGGACTGTCGTGGGGCGGGTGGCTGCGGGGTCGACAAGGCCGACTCGGGCTCTGCCGCCACGGACTCGGACTTTTCCGAAGGTGAGGAGGAGGAGGAGCCGCGGTGCCTCTTCGTCGGGGTGACGCTCTCCAGCTTGTCGGGGCCGAGAAACAAGACGGACTTGCGGTGCGCGGTCGAGGCCTTGCCATCCTCGTCGGCCCCTGGCCCCGCGGGCTCGTCGATACCAGGGGAGGTTTGTCGGGTGGAGGCCGGCGCCGGCGACACGAGGTGCTGCGAAAGCCGCTGGATGGAGCGGCAGACCCGCCTGAGGAGGGAGGGTGAGGGCGGCGTCTCGGAAGGGGGGCTGGCGGGACCGTCGGGGCCCTCCACCGCCGCCGGGGTGGGTGGCGGGCAGGGCACCGAGGTCGAACGCGACCCCCGCCTTGCCGTGGAAACCCAATTAAACCACCCATTGGGTTTCTGCGCCGCCGGTGGGCTTGACGGGGCATTCGGTAAGACGTCCCCGTCGCCAGTGGCGGTCAGTTGGGTGGCCTCAGATGGACTCTGCAGAGGGGTTCGCTCTTCGGATTGGGTTATGGGAATGTGTGGTCGGGGCTTGTGCTCTTCTAGCACCCTATTCACTAGTTCCTCCTGCTCCTTTGCCCGCGTTAGCAGGTTTTGCGCGCGCTCCAGGACTGTATCACATCGGCTCGTGATATCTTTCACAAGTTGCGAAGTCGTTTCCACAGTTTTGCCGGCCGTTCCCTGTACACGTGAGTGAAGCCCAGCATCCGCATCACTGACTGCGTTTGAATGCGCTTGTCGCGTTGCGGGTGGTGATACGGACGCTCCAGATCCCCGGAAGAGGGGCCTCGTCAGAGACTGCGCCATACCAGGGAAGCTTTGGGGTATCATAGATGGCTGCGGCTCCGGTTTCTGAGAGGATGCCCTCTGCTCCCGATCCTCTTTAATAACGTTGTCAAGATTCTGGCTTGAAGCTGCACGCTTAAAGAAGTGCATGTCAGCGCTCCCAGACTTTTAGATCCTTCAAATTTGCCTTCCTCTTAACTTCTTTAATGAAAATGCTTAGCAGATGGTTCGTTTTATAGCCTCTTCGAAAAAAGTTCTATGTATACTTCAACGCAAAAAAAAAAAACAGAAAATACCACTTAAAAAAATTTGTGTAAAGCTCGAAATAGCAAAGAACTATAATCCTGCGAGCCGCTTAGCAACACCATCTTCCATTCTACCATATCAACTATTTCACTACATGTACCTTGTAGATTTAGAATCGCATAATGATATATATATATATATATATATATATATATATATATATATATATAT